AGAATTACAACATTTTGCATTAAAACTGGAAATGGTTAGTTAACTGAGAAAATGAAACCCTAAAGTACAAACGGTTTTTATATTTTAAGCTAAATAAAGTGCTGTCGTTAGCAAGAACGAAGGAAATTAGGTAAAAAAGAAGTAGTCTGGATCAGTGCTAACCACATGCCTCTTAGGGGACAGAAAGCCCCCAGATGGTCACAAGAGCGGGTATCTCTGTGAGTCCCTGGGGCCAAGGCTGCGTGGGGCTGGAGGCCAACGAGAGCTCGTCTTTCTGGGGCTACAAAGCGAGAACTAGGGTAATGAGTCAATCACAGGCCGTGGTGCGGAAACCGACATGAGCAGGCGCTGCTGAGAGTCCCCCGGCTGCTGTAAATTAAGTGACCGAATCAGAACTTTTAGAGCAAAAAATACAAAGAAACTGAGCTGGCCTGACAACGGCGACGAGTAAAAACTCACGACCCCTTGCTGGCGCCGGCTGGTTCGCTTGCTTCCTTCTTACAAGTATTTTCTGTGGTTCCTCACGTGTTAATGGGTAACCAAAAATTAATTTATCTATTTTTAATTTGAGAGAGAGGGAGAGAGATACCAAGTGGGGGAGGGGCAGAGGGAGAGAGAGACAGAATCTCAAGCAGGCTCCCGGCCTACCGAGGAGACTGGTGCGGGGCTCGATCCCATGACCACGAGATCATGACCTGAGTGAAATCAAGAGCTGGACGCTCAACCCACTGATCCACCAGGCGCCCAAAACCAATGATGTACGTAGTGATTCGTGACAGACACCCAGGGCCACCCGGACTCCTGCTACAGAAACCGTCAGCCATTTGGTGCCTGACCAGGAAAACGTGTGTGGTTTACGACCTCGTGGGGGTGGCCTCTTGTGCGAGTGGCCGGGGACCTGGGTAGGAGCGCGTACCAGCAGTGAGGACACCTGGGTCCCGGCCTCTCCGTTCGCAGAAGAGAAGCACCTCAGACTTCTGTTCGGGTGCTCACTGACGACTCCGGCGCTAGCGGGGAAGCGAACGAAGCCGTCAGGGCAGCAAGGGCGTCTGCAGGCAGGGTGGGGGCTCCCCCCCCCCCCCCCCCCCCCCCCCCCCCCCCCCCCCGCCACTGATCCCCGACGGGTCGCTTCACACCAGGGCCTCTGGCCAAACGAGACCTCCTTCCCGGCACTCGACCAGCCCAGCAGCCCCGGAGGGACGCACAGCGCCGGTGTCTGCTCCGCGCTCGGAGCGGGTGGCGACCCGGAGCCCGTTCCACCCGCGAGGGGTGACGGGAAAGCACGTACGGGCGCCAGGACGGGGTTTGAAAACGACACTCAATTGAGTATAACAACTGTCACTTTTGAAAAATCTTCAAAGATGTCAATTAAATAAGTAACTGCTTTGCATGAAAGGCATCCACGGAGAGAGTTTTTAAAAAGCAAGCAAAGCACACCCGTAGGGGCTGGAGCTCAGAGGACACGCTCAGGCCGGCGGGGTGGCCTCCCGGCAGAGCTGCCATCACCCTCGCTGTGTCCGCGGCCGCCGCTGCTGGCACTCCAGCGCGAGCGCTTCCTGGCGTCGAGGGCACGGGGCTCCCATCAGGAAACGCTTCTAGCCCCTTCCAGCCCCCGGTGCCTGCTCTTGCCTGCAGAGCACAGCCCGGCCCCCTCTCCCGCACGCCCGCCCGCTCAGGCGGGCCGCGCGCCGCAGCGCCTCTGCCCACGGCAGGGCGCACACAGCTTCCCGCCGGGCACCCCAGCGGCACCCGCCTTCGCCCCGGCTCGCGCGCAGCCCCGCCCTCCCCCCGCCTTCCCGGACGTCCCCACTCGGACGCGACGCACGAGAACGCGCTCGCCCCCGCGGCGCCGCCCTGGCCTGGCTGCCACGTTGTGTCGACGCCGGCAGCGGCGGCCGCGGGGCCCGGGGCCCTCCTTCCGCAGCCCTCCACGCGCCGGGGCCGGCGGGCACCGCGAGTCAGAAGCCAGGACAGTTCTGAAGCCTGAAGGATGGGCAATAATCTGGAACGAAGATGCGAGAGTTCAAGAGGCTCTCGCGTCCGGAAGGCCAGGGAAGGGGGCCCTACGGTCACAGCTCACCACCGACCTCCATGCCGGCGTGGAAACGACACTCTTCCTGTCTGTCCTCGGCGGCAGTAAGGAAACCGGGTCACCTCATCAGCTGAGGCGCCCCGGACCCGCCGTGCACGCGGCAAGGTCTTGTTTAAGGGCGGGTCCCTGCGCCGCCCCGCCGGCCGCCCCGCCCCCCCCCCCCCCCCCAGAGGACGCCGCAGGCCTGGACGCCCGCCATCGTCCTCTTCCCACACGGGATGACGTGTGACACGATGTGAGGTGACAGGGCGGGACAGACACCCGCGAGCTGTAAGAAATGCACGCGCACACGCACACACAGGCATGCACACACGCATGCACACACGTGTACGCACACACGTGTGTACACACGCGTACGCACACACATGCACACACGTAAGCACACGTGCACACACGCGTACGCAGGACCAGAAAGAAACAGCCCACACGTCCTGGCTGTTCCACTGTCCAGGCCTCTCGGTAACTGCAGGGCTGCCCTTGTGGAAAGTGTGCAGGGCTTTGCCGTGGGGCCCGTTTTAGAGGGTGCCCCCCCCCCCCCACTTCAGGCGTCAGTGCTCGCTGCTCTGGGCCCCCTGCCGGAGCCTCGCGTCCGTGATGATACCAGCTGCTTAGATTTCCACCCGGGCGGCCGCCCTGCTGGGCCACTGACGAGCAGCAGCCGCGCCTCCCCCTGCTCACCCCTCTGCCCTCCCCGCCGACCTCACGGGAGCCACAGGCTGAAGACGTCTTCCCTAAAGCTACTCGCCGCACAGACTTGAACTTTCTTAAGGAAAACCCAACCAAACACCAAAATAGAGCATTTATCCAAACTAAAATACCTCAAATAGTTTGCATTTTGTTTTTTTTTAAATATAATTTATCGTCACATTGGCTAACACACTGTGTACAGTGAGCTCTTGGCTTCGGGGGTAGGTTCCCAGGATTCATCACTTACATGCAGCAGCCAGTGCCCCTCCCAGCGGGTGCCCCCTCACTGCCCCTCCCCCCTTCCCCTCCCCCCCCATCTCTGTCTCTTATGGTTTGCCTCCTTCTCTGTTTGATACTATCAAATAGTTTTCATTTTTTGTTTTTTTTTTAAATTTTTTAAATGTTTTTTATTTATTTCTGAGAGAGAGAGAGACAGCATGAGCAGGGGAGGGTCAGAGGGAGAGAGACACACAGAATCTGAAACAGGCGTCAGGCTCTGAGCTGTCAGCACACAGCCCAACGCGGGCCCGACCGTGAGATCGTGAGCTGAGCTAAAGTCGGAGGCTTAACTGATTGAGCCTCTCAGGCGCCCCACAAATAGTTTGCATATTGAAGCAGACTTCGATGCCAGAGTGACGCTGCCCAGTGGCTCAGCATTTGAGAAACAGTCTGCTTCCTGGGGCCCAGCGCTGCCCCCGCATCTCACAGAATTCCCACACGCTTGTCCAGAGGGTCGCGCAGGGCGCCAGCCCGTCCCCATCCTGGGGAGGGAAGACCAAGAAACTGGGCCGTAAAAGCTGCCAACGTGGCAGAGCGACAGCAAGGCGGCCCAGCTCCGCGGGAGGCCCTCAGCGCCCACAGGCGCTCTGCCCAAGCCTGGCGGTTGCAGGCTTTAGGGTCTGGGAGTGGAGGTGGCGTGGGGGGAGGGGGAAAGGAGAGCGGGCTCGCCTCTGTCACAAAGACACACAGGAGGACCTCAGGGTCTCCATCTTGCAAGCACCATTTTCATTTCTTTTCACAGGTATGTATACGCTTCGTCTACACGTGATCTGACAAAGACACTCTGGACCTTCACGAATGAGCTCTCCTTTCAACACCTTAGAACATTCCCTTAACCTTCTGTGCACATACTAGTTCTGGACTCGGTATCGGTCACCAAGATGCAGGTTCACAGCTACCGCTGAGTGCGCCGTGCGCCGCCCAGTGCTGTCCGTGTCCGTGAATCCGGAAGTCAGGTGACCGCTGAGCTCACAGACCACGGAGGCTACACGGGGAGAGCTGGCTCCTTAACCCACAACGTCGTCCTCACACTCGCCTCCTGTCTTCCAGCGGGCGCTCCGGGCATGCGGACGCCACGACTGCGATTTACCATCAAGTGTTGGCAGAGTCAGCATTTTTTCCTTAAAAGACCGTGGTTAAAGTTAGGGGGAAGATCATGGTGAAAGGTAGGGGGGCTGCAGAGTTCGATCAGAAACAGCCACTTGTTTTCTCCATTTTGCATCATTTACGTGCCCTAAGAGACATGCCTTCAAGCAAAGCGCCACACTGCTTTCCTCCGGGGGAGGGCGAGCTAGTAGCCAGCACCACGTGCGCACACACCAAAAGAAACACGTTTTAGTTTGGGGTTATGGTTTTAGATCGGAGCTTTGAAAAAGTAAGTAAAATGGCATTTTCAAAAGGAAAAAAATACCTTAACTGTGTCCTTTAAGCAGGGGTGAACTGAGAAGTTAGGACCCTTGCATTTAAGAGTTGCTGTTCCCTCACTGGCCACCACTGAGATGCTACAGGGGACAAGCAGACAAACCAGTGACAAAGGGCACTCGGGCGCGTCACCACAGACACATCCCGGACCCGTCCCAGCTGCGCCCACAGCCATCGCCGGCCTCCAGAGAGCGAGCCTGGGCCCATCACGGACCTGGCAGACCCCGGGAGGCCCAGCCCAGCTCCATCCGGACAGCCGATGCCGCCGTCATTTCCACGGCATCTGGGAGCCTCTCCCGCGGAGACAGAAAGCCAGGCAGGCACCAGGTCTGGGCTCCACAAACGCCAAGTTTTTCCGTCGATGAAAGGCCGAACTGCATGAGGACCCAGAGGCCCTGACACATCGCCTTCCACCCTCACAGAGCGGCCCGGACCTGGCAGCGCGAGCCGCGCCCCTGCGGTGGTTTCTCTGGTGAGACGTGGCTAGGGGACACTGAGGGACCGCACTGGGGGTACTTGCCGCTGAGCAGAGGCTTGTTGAGGGTGTAGAGCGGCGGCAGGTCTTCTATGTTTGCGATCCGCTGGTACATGGCCCTGGAGAGGTGGTCCCCGTGGTAGAGGCTGCCCAGGATGATGCTCGAGAGGTAAATGGGCTCCACGAAGATGCTGAGCAGCGACCCCTGGATGCCCACCACGTTCCACCTGCGGGCACAGGGAACACACTCTTGAGTGCAAGAGGGGGTGTCCGTGTCCCCCGCGGCACCAGGCCAGCGCCCCTCACGGCTGCCTGTTTACACTCACGTGCGTCAGCGCGTACACCTAGGAGAAGACAGCACTTAAAACTAACTGACCGACAGAAAACCCTGTTTAACATTATTCTAAACTGTGGAGCAGCCTCTCCTGACACACCTACTGAGGCTTAGTTCTCCAAAAGGTTCAGTGAGCCACGTTTCTTTGGAAAAAAGTCAGAAAAGAAAGTATTTTATTACTTGCAATTAAAAAAAAAACCTGCAAAAGAGATGTTGAAAACATCAGCCTGCTTGCTTCTGCTCCTTGGGGACAACCCCGGGCGAGCCTGGTTTGCAGGGAGGCCCGGCGCGGGGTGGGGGGCGAGCTCCCCGGGCAGCCAGCCCTCCCCTGCCCACTGGGGGACTGACTGGCACAGGAAGACGCAGGATGAGTGACTGCGTGCTCAGCTGACACAGGTCAAGGTGCGTTCCCGTCGCTGACAGCATAGGCTTCCGGCTCCAGCCCGGCCCTGCCCCCCTCCCCGAGTCTACAGACGGCAGCGGGACCGCTCACTGGAGCCCCCGGGCCGGGCACCAGATCCACGGGGCTGGGAGGCGCGGCCCGTGTGTTCTGGGGCCACGGGGCTGTCGGATGCGGAAGGGGGGGCGAGCGGTGCTGAGCCAAACACGTGATCAAGAACACAGGTGGAGGAAACCAACCCAGGGGAAAGCCCTCCTGTGCTAACGGCCCAGGTAACCTAGGGGTCTCCTCGTCACGATGTGCCCCTCTCCCACCTACCAGTACGCACGCTCCGTGAAGGAGAGGCTTCTGCTTTGCTCCCTGCGCTTTCCCGGCACTCACACTACACACCCGCTACACACGGACCCATACCACGTGCTGGAGGGTGAGCCCCAGGCCTGCGCACGCCTCCCACCCTCTACAAAGGAGGTTCAAGCACAGGTCTTCCGATCCGGCAAGGAAAAGCATCACGTGCTTACGAAAACCACAGGGCACCCCTTTCTGTGTCAGTTCAAGCCTGTGTAGGGATTTAGACCATTTTAGGGCGAATTCAGCCTCCCAGGGCAACCTTTAAAACAGTGACTTTGCAGAACCCTGTATTTGCGACGAGTCATTACTCCTGAACACATGCTCCGCGGCAGGACTCTCAGAGCTGGACTGCTGGGTGGAGGCCCTGGGTGACGACGTGTGGCACGCTCCCGCTTGGGCAGACGGGCTCCTGCCAACGCGCCTTCCAGAGCCCGGGGGGCGAGGAGAGCAGATGCCGCCACACTCCAGGTGAAGGGTCCCCAAGCAACCCTCTGCAAAGGTTGCAAAGTGGCTCAGACTCAGGCAGATCCCCTCCCCCCCCCCGTGGCGCCTGGCTCAGCCCCAAGTGAGGGCGCAGGGGTCCACGGTGCTGTGCCACGGGTGCCCACATGCTCCAGCCGCTCTTGCTCTCCTCCCCACGTGACATCTTGGAGGCCAGGGCTAGAGTACTGTCACCTGGCTAGGTCCTGACGCAGCTTCTCCATGCCCGCCCATGGCCTTCATGGGAGCACCAGGGCCCCTCTCCCCACCTGCTTCCCACGGGGCTCGACAGGAGGCCCCTCATGGCCCCCAAGCAGCCTTCTTGGCCAAGCTGCCTACCAGACAGACCAATGGCACGTGGTGGCCCTTGGCTGCAGGGCTGCGCTTCCCTCTGCGCCCAGCCCACAGTGGCCTCACCCCTGCACCTGCCCCTGCTCCCACCCCCCATGCTCCTCCTACGGGCGTCTGTGGGATGTGGCTCTGCCTCTCTGGGAGGGACACAGGTCAGCCTTGCCTTCCAGAGGGGACGCTGGTGACCCTGTCATTCCCTTGGGGCGGAGACGGGGCTGCAGGCAGCCTGCTGGCCACCAGAGCATTTCCCGAGGACCTTTCTGGCCCTCTGGCCAGGTGTGAGTGTGACACTGAATAACATTCCCCTTCCAAGTGCAGCTGAGCTTCTGCTAACGAGGCGACTCAGCCCAGACCCCCACTTCCGGGGAGGGGAGGGACTGGAGGCTGAGCTAATCACTGGTCCAGGGAATGGAAATCTGCATCAGGACCCTAGCTGGGGGGGGGGGGGGGAGGCCACAGCAGGGAGCTGGAAGGGGTGCCGTGTGCCTGGAGACCCGGCTGCTCCAGGCCACACCCCAAGCTCCTCCTCTTCCACCTGGCTGTTCCTGAGTCGTAGTCTTCATAACAAACTGCTAGGTGTTAAGTAAACGGTTTTCTGAGTTCCGTGGGCTATATTAGCAAATTATTGAACCCAAGGACTGAGTTCAGTAGCCGAGTGAAACTGTGGGAGCCCCGGTGCCCAGTTACGGCAGCTGTCGTCCGCAGGGGGCAGTCCCATGAGGCCGACCCCTTAGTCCGCGGGGTCTGCGTAAGCTCCAGGAGGCCCCTGGAGGACTGTGCTGGTGACGCCCACACACCACACCCCTGGGGGTGAGAAGGTCTCCATGGTGCCCCTTCTCTAAGCATCCTGCACCCTCTCCTCCAGGCCCGTTAGTCTGCCTTGTCGCTGTTTGCACGGATGACGTTCACAGGCACAGGCCGTGAGGGTTCCCATCCGTGAGTTTCGCCTTTTATGCTCATGAGTGTAACCCCATCTCAACAACCTGGAACGTTCCCTTCTCGCCCGCAGGGACCCTTCAATCGGCGCCTCTGAATTACTGAGCTGCAGGAATTGGCTCTGTCGGCTGGGTTCTCACCTCTTGTTGGTTATAGAAGGTGGAATCTCTTTTCCCAGTACGTGGCCTTTCTTTTCGCTGTATCTAAGGGGGTTTTGGTAAATAAGTTTTAAATTTTCAATTTAGTCAAATTTATTCGTTTTTTTTTCTTTCTAATTTGGGCTTTCTGTGCCTTGACTGAGAAATCTGCTTAAGTGGAAGCCACAAGGATGGCTGGGCTGCGTGATCTGCCTGGAACGTGCTCCTGTGTGCCGTGTGAGGGGCCGTGTGAGGGGCCTGCCCTTCTCTGAGGGTAAACGCAGCCCGGACTGTTTGCCGACCGCAGATCCACGCACCGCGGAGCCGCCGACGACCTGGTTCGCTGAGCCGCGGCCCCGCTGCCTGCCTGGGGAGGCGCGCCTGGGCCCGGTTCTCGGTGAGCAGATGGCCGCCCCTCCTCCAGGCGCGGGGTGGGGGTGGCGGGCTGTGGGGCCCTGAGGACAGAAGACTGTCCTGGCTGCGGCAGACCCACCTACTCTGGACCTGACTTTCTGTGGGACGGAAATAAACTTTCGTCTAGTTTATGTTTCCTCTCCAGTGCGGGCAAAGCTGCCCATCGGTCATTACCAGTCTTGGCACTGCTGCGTCTCCATTTGAGTGCTGGGAGTAGATGCTCGAGGGCTGTGACAAAATTAGGGTAATTGAGTAAAATTGCATTAAAGTTCTAGAAACTGATCAAACTATTCAAGGCACACTACTGGATGTGTTTTTAAGACTGAGGACGGTGTGCCACTTTTTCCTTTACCATCCTTGCTGCTGTGGCAACAAAGGTGGTAATAATTCCAGAGAGTGAGCCGGGGAGCCTTCCCTCGGTTTCTAATCTCTAGAAGAGATGACCTAAAATAGGGCTCTTCGGCTCTGCGGGAATGCGGGAGCTCACGGAAAAGCCGCCCAGGAGAGCGGGTTTGTCTTCTCTACGGCCCTCTCCTCTCTTTGATTTCTTCAGATTATTTCCTTCCTGGGGGTGGGCGTGACGTGTATATTTTTAATGTTTACGTATTCCCTTCTCCACTTATCTTGAGTGGAGATTTCAGGAACGCACATTTTTCTAAAAGGTTGTTTTAATTTCATTTGAATGTCAACACCGATTGGTGGTGAAGTCGCCTGTAATCCTGCACAGAACTCTGTGCCGCTAGTTTTACTTCTGCTGGGGCCCTACCTGTCCCCCCCACAGCGTGGCCACGCCGTCCCCCCACACACAGCGTAGCCACGCCATCCCCACACACACAGCGTGGCCACACCGTCCGCCCACACACACAGCGTGGCCATGCCATCCCCCCACACACAGCGTGGCCACACCGTTCCTCCATTCCCGTCAGTCCAGCCAGCCCGCTGTTGTCACCCATTCCGAAGCACGAGCACGGCACTTTACTACTTGCTGTTTCTCTCTGTTGCCTCTAAAGATAATTTCTGCTCCTTATCATTTACTTTGTTCTATTTATTTGGATTGTTCTCTTTGTAACTCATTAGCTGTGAGGCTCCTTGTGACTTAGGATCATCTTCTAATCTCCACTGTGATTTCTTCTGGGAATTACCGAGGTACAGCTGACGTGCACTCCAGCGCACATATTAAGGCCCACGTGGGGGTGAGAGGCGACTTGTGTATGTGCCCTCGAGACCAGCGTCCCCGGAGTCCTCCCTGTGCCATGGCCACCCTGCTGCCCCTCCTGGGCAGCCACTGACCTGCTTTCTGCCGCTGGAGGTTAGTTTGCATCATCTAGGACTTACATGCACGGAACACCCAGCAAGCACCCCCGTTTGTCTGGTTTCTCTTCCTCAGCATGGCTGCTTGGAGGTTTACCCATGGTGCACTGGGGTCACTGTTCATCCCCCCGTAGCACCCAGCGTGTGGACACCCCACCGTGTGTGTATCGGCTCATCCGCAGACAGTGGCCGGCCGGCTTCTCCTTACTGACTGCTATGAAGCCGCAGCCCCGAGCTCGCACGTGTGGCTCTGCGGGCACGCGCTGCCATCTCCCCACGTGCCCACGGGTAGGATGGTTAGGGGTGTGACGGGCGCATCTTCAACTTTTTAAGGACCTGCCAACCTGTCTTCCAGGGGAGCTGTGCTGTTTACATGCCCGCCTGCAGAGGGCAAGGGACAAGCCCCCGTATCCCTGTCAACCCTTTACGTGCCTGTTATCCTAATTTGAGCGTGCTCACGGGTGTGACTTTGCACCTCACGTGCACTTCTAGTGACCATTAACGGTGCTGAGCGTC